CCCCCCACCCCATAGGACTCGCCCCCACCCCTGCCCCGGCCACCCACCTCTGCCGCCGCGCCCTGCACCCCTGGCCCGACACGATCCACCGCGCAGGTGCCCGCTGTCCCTGCCGCCGACCCCAAGCCGGACCACCTGCTGCATCGCGAGCGCCGCGAGGCCATCCTGGCGGAGCACCCCGAGATCCAGAAGCTGCAGGGCAACGACCCCATCATGGCCCTCTACGCGTTCGGCGTGGTGGCGGCCATGCTGTCGCTGGCGTGGCTCTGCCGCGACTCCTACCTGCTGGCCGTGCTCTTCGGCTTTGGCCCGGGCCCCTACCTGGACGCGGGCGTGCTGGTGCTCATCCACGAGGCGACCCACTTCCTGGTGTTCAAGCGCCCCGCCGCCAACCGGCTGCTGTCCATCTTTACCAACATGGTCATGATCGCGCCCCTCTCAGAGGTCTTCAAGCAGCACCACGGCGCGCACCACATCGGGCTAGGGGACACCACCAAGGACGTGGACGTGCCCTTTGAGTTTGAGATCAGGCTCATCGGCAACAGCGCCGCCGGCAAGGCCCTTTGGCTGACCTTCAACATGGTCATCCTGCCCGTGCGCTCGCTCATGAAGCTGCCGGTCCGCACCGACAAGTACCTGATCCTCAACTGGGTCGTCTGCCTGGGCTTTGGCGCCCTGGTGGCCTACCTGTCGCGCCCCTCCCTGGTGTTCCTGCTGCTCTCGCTGCTCAACTCGCAGGGCCTGCACCCGGCCAACGCCCGCCAGGTGCAGCGCCACGTGTTCAACGGCGACGAGGGCATGCGGTCGCGCGTGCACGGCCACCCCCGCACCTACTCCTACTACGGCCCCGCCAACCTCTGGAGCCTCAACGTGGGCTACCACCTGGAGCACCACGACTTTGCCCGCATCCCGGGGACGCGCCTGCCCCAGCTGCGCCGCATCGCGGGGGAGAAGTGGTACCCCTCCCCCGCGGCTCACCCCGGGCGGGGGCTGTCGGAGCTCATCAACTTTGTCATGAACCCCAACATTACTCTCGCGGACTTCGCCAGGCACTGATTGAGGGCTCATTGGCCACCGCCGGATCGCTCTGCAGCCCTGGCGCGTGCGCTATTTGACACTGCCCTCGCACCGCACTGCCACACTGTGTGAGCCACGCAGTACAGCGCCCTGTGCACGCGGCCCCATCGGCTGTCGCGCGTTACACCGCCCTCACGCTTTGCGTGATACGGCGATTCTGATTGGAGCGCTATTGAGACTGTGTCCTCCCTCGGCTGGCACCGATCCTGGCGATGGCTGGCGTGCGCTGCTGCCTATTTGCTAGCGCTGCTGCACCCCAGGAAAGTCGCTTGTCCGTGGGTTGCGGCCCCCACGTCAGCGTGTGACGCACTGTGGCGCTTCGTGCTCCAGCGCGCGGCCCACCTTGGCGTCCCCGCTTGAAGGGTGGTCGTGTGCCTGCTTGTCCTCCTGTGACCAACCGCTTTCATGATTGATCATACAATTACAGTGCCTGCAAGTGATGTGGGGTTTTGCACCCCCTCACCCCCCCCCCAAGTATTGCGTGCTACAAACCCGTCTGCGCTCTGCTTACTCACCCTGCGAAGCCCATCGTAAGCTGGCAAGTGTGCGGCTGTGCCTGCCACCTGCCTGGAAGAAATATGGGAATTGCATCTCCAGCACTCAGGAACTGCCGTTTCTGCCAGTCTGTGATGATGGTGTGTGGTGCGTGTGTGTCCGTGTGAGAGTGCTGAGAGCGGCCTCGTTGTTAATGCGGCTGAAATGGAGGTCATGTCTGTTGGTTGCAAGGGGCTCGTCCCCTTGCCCCTGGAGACTGCGCTTTGGGGTGTCGCCGAGTTCAGCAGCCCCCTGTGACGGCGGCCTGGCCCGCACTCAAGGCTGCGCCGCGCAGGCAGGGCCACGACCACACCTTGTGTAACGTAATTCTTTCCTTTGCGGAGATGGCAAGCCTGGAGGCCCTGGCATGCGGGGCAGCAGCCAGTGGGGTTGGCAGGGCGTGCCGGCGAAGCAGGCGGCGCCGCGGCCTCTTTGGCAGGTGTGGGAGATGGGCCTGCACTGGTGAACGCCTTGTGTGTGTGTATCTCATGGTGCCCTGGAGCAGGTGCGCCCCTGACTGCAAGACTGCACTGAGAAGCTCAGCCCTCGCCGGCAGCTCGTGCCTGATCCCTGCTGTGAAAAAATGACAGTACACACTGTTGAACACCATGCCAGATAGTTTCACATTAGCAGCAGAGCCCCGCAGCCGGCCTTGGGGTCGCTTGTGATGCAACCGGCCGCGCCCTTATCAGCCAAGCTGCTCCATCTCAGGGGGGTACCAGGGCCACTCATTTCGGCACCAATGGCCCTCAAAGGCGGTGTTGCGGGCGATGCTGGCGTGCACCCTCCACAGCAGGTGCCGTGGCACATAGCGCCACTCCCACTTGCCCGCGCCGCTGCCGCCATCCTCGCCGGTGCCCTTGTTGTTCCCCGCGTCTTCTCCCGTCTTCTGCTGCCGCCTCTGCTGCTGCTTGCGCCGCTTGGTCGCTGGCTGCCTCCTCTTGGACTTCCTCTTGGTCGACTTCTGCTGCTGCTTGGGGGGCGGATGGCTGGGGCGCCGGTGGCTGCCAAATCGACGACACCGCGCGCTGTGGCGCCTTGGGCAGCACAGACAGCAGCTCAGCCAGCGCAGGGTGTGGCCGCAGGCCCGGCGGCACCACTAGCTGCTGTCGCTCCCACAGGTCATCGCGCGCCACGTCAAACCACAGCTCCTGCGGGCGCGGCGGCGGGCCGGGCCAGCCCGACGCGGCTGCAGCTTGTGCTGATGCTGCTCCTGTCCCCGCGCCCCCTGGGCAGGGGCCCGCCGTGGCCTTGCCCGGCTCGCTCTGTTGGTCTGAGCCATGGGCCTCGCTGCCAGGTGCGGCATCCGCTGGCTGGCAGGGAGCTGCAGCTGTGGTCATGGCGTCCAGGGCAAAGAGAGCTGTGTTGCCCCACTCCAGGACAGCCCTTGTGGGAACCTGTGTTCAAAAGGCCGGGGAGTGTGAGGTGCGCGGGGCGAGGCGGCGCTGCCAGAGGCAAATGATGCGCACACATCGAGCGAGTGCAGCTTCGCAGACAACGGGGTGTGTGTGTGTGTGTGTGTGAGTGTGTGTCTGTATGTGTGGGGGTACGAGCCCGTGTGGATGTGCATGCCCTTGCCTAGCACGTGTTCATGGAATTGCATGCAGGCGTGATCATCGGACGCAACCGGTCACTTGGTTTACGCCCCTCCCTGGGACCAACCCGCAGGATGAAGCTGAGGACCAGGCGGTGGTGGCATGGCGCGTTGAGGTGCGGGTGGCGCACCACAAACTCCGGAAGGAGGCGCAGCGCCTGGAGAGGCAGCGGCAGTGGGGCGGCGGGGCGTGAGGCCAGGGGGAGCACGCCTGGGGAGGGAGCCGTGCCCACACACACATCACTGATGCAGCGGCTGCAAAGCGGCGGACCTGGGCTCGACGCCGCCAGGAGGCAGCCTGACACCCCGGCTGTGTGTGCGGCTGTGCACCCACTGGGGCTTCACAAGGCCAGGTGGCCCAACACACTGGCGCCTGCCCCCCACCTTGAGCAGCGAGTGCAGGTAGCTGGGCCCCTGGAAGAAGGTGGCGTCCGGCCACTCCCCGCCAGGCTGGAGGTCGCACCTCGGGGCGCACGCCGGGACGGTCGCCCCCTCCACCAGGGCCCACACGGCGCGCGCCAACCGGCTGCACCCGGCAGTTGCAGCAGCCGCGGGCGCGGCACCTCGAGGCACCGCTCCTTCGCCGGCCTCCTCAGCACCCGCGGCCGCTGCAGTCGCCCGCACCGCCTGCGCGCCCGCAGCAGTGGCGCTGGCGGCGGCAGGCTGCTCCAGGGCGAGCGCTGCCTCGGCCCTCAGCAGCGTGGGCACCAGCAGCATCAGCTCCGGCGCTGCCCAGGGGCCGCAGTTGGCGGTGCCCTCCACACCCAGAGCTCCCAGCACCTGGCGTGGCGGAGGGTGGCGGCGCAGCCAAGACGATGTGACGAGAGGCGACCGGGGCGTAACAGAAGAGTGAGGTGTCGCGCGAGCACTGTGAGGACCAAGGCCACCCCTGGGGCCTCACCAGGCGGATCGCGTCCCGCTGTTCGCGGCCGCCGAGCGCCTCCAGCTGCTGCGCCACCCAGTGCAGTATGTGGACCGGCGTTGCCAGGACGCGGTGGTCCCTCAGCATGACGCCCACGTCGCACGGCCTTAGGAGGAGGGGCAGCGCGAGTCTTGGTGGGGCGCAGGTCGGGTGGGTTCTTGCGGGGAGGCGTGCGTGCTGAGCGCACGCTGTGTGCGTCGAGGGTGTGTGTTTCAGTGCTTGCATTTGATCAGCCATCTCACGATCCAACCCTGCGCACGCATAGTTTTATTGTTTGCCATCTCGAACCCATCGTCACATGTTTCAAAAGGATTCCACATTGCTGAGCATCTCAGTCATGCTCAACCCCTTTCAGCAGATCAACCACCACTGCACGCTCCGAACAGCAGGCGCCCACCTGTGCCAGATGTCGCGGCCGCTGCACGTGATCTGGTGCCATCCCCCGTCCCAGGCGCAGGACTTGAGCCCCAGGCTGTCCTCCTCCTGGCTGTCAAGCTCAACCTGCCGCGTGCGCCACAACCACAAGAAAGCTGACAAAGACCGCGTTTGGGTACAAACAGGGGCGCAGCCGCACTATGAGTAATGAGTGGGTGTTGAGAGGCCCTGCCTGTCGAGGTCCCAGCGGGGCGTGAGAGGTCCCCGCAGGCTCGCACTGCGCCGCACACCTGCGAGCGCCCCTTCTCAAACTCAGCGGACGCCTGGTTGGCCCTGAGCCACTCATCAAGGTCCATCCGGTGATCGGATCTCCGAGCCTGCCCGAACGCCACCCACTTGCGGTAGCGGGAGTACATCTCATCCGCCTGCAGGCCAGAGCGAGAGGCCAACGCCGGCGGTGATGCCGCACGTTGAGCAAAAGCACAACAGGGGAGATGAGAGTAGACAAAGAGTGAGGCGTGGTGGGCAAAGATGCAGCGAGGCGGTCCAGCGGTTTGCGTTCCTCGTCGTGCAAGGGATCTTGGATACCCCGACACCACAGACGGATGCGTTCGACGAAAGGACACGCGCACCTGAGCCCTCGTGTGGCTGCCCCTCAGACCCACGCCCCAGGACGTGACGGTGTGCGCCACAACCGGCACGTCTGCACACTGTCCGCCGCTGCACTGCCCTCGCAGCCGCCGCCACGTGCCGACGCCCTCCCCCACCAGCGAGGCAGCCTGCGTCGCCAGCAGCAGCGGGACGTGGCCTGCAGCGGGCCACGGCCCCGCGGCCGCCGCCTCCTTTGCCAGGAGAAACAGCTGAGCCCCCAGGCCCTCGGGCACCGGCTTCGTCGGCGCCCTCAGCCAGCGGCCGGAAGCGGGGGGGCTGAGGTCTGCGCTGGCTTGTTCGCGGCCCAGCAGGGCGAAGCTGGCCGCGACAGCTGCGGGCTCGGCTGCAGCAGTCGTGGTCAGGAGGTGGTGAGCAGCGCGGATGGCAAAGCCTGTGGGGGCAGGGTTGTGCAGGCGGGACAGGTCGGTCACCTGATCGGTGGCAGCGCAGCGCACTGTGCACCACTGCGCATGCACACATCACAGCTGCGCACTAGTACCCTCGAGGCAGCCAACCTGCCACACCAAACGTGTTGCCCACCCGGCATCGCTGGGGCGCCACCGCTGCTGCGCACCGACGTGCCAGCCTGCAGGCGCCTCTTTACTGCCTCCCACCCACCCAGCCAACGCCCCCACCAGTCAACCCCAGCCACCCGCCCACCCACCCAGCAGGTCTCCCAGTGCGGCCCTCATGGCGTCATCCGGCTGCTTGTGGCCGCTGTAGCCGGCCAGGTTGACCTGCCGCGGCTCCTGGCCACCAGGGTGGTATGGCTCCAGGGCCAGGGCGCGGTAGGAGGAGAGGGCGGCGGCCAGCGCGGCAGAGGGCAGGCCCAGGGCCGCCAGCTGGCGCGCGGCGTGGAGCGCCAGGGTTGGGACGCAGATGGCCGCCTGGCAGGCGGCGCAGATGCAGGGGCAGCGCTGAGGGCGCCAATAGATCGAGCACATGTGGAGTGCAGCACACAAAGGTTGCTTTTGCACGATCCATTGACGATGTTCGAGCGCAGTCAACTCTTGATAGACGAGTGGCGAACTGTGGAGACACTCTGGCAAACCGGGCAGACACGCAACTGATGCAATAAGCAACGCATTGCCAGCACGCGCATTGCAGCCCACCATGGCGGGCGGCCCTGTCAGGAGTGCTGGCACAAGGAGCAGGCAGCGCGGCAGCGGCGCCTGGCTGAAGACGCAGCTCTGCACCAGGTCCCCCAGCAGGGTCAGAGACGGCAGGACCACGGGGCCGGGGAAGCCCTGGGGTTGCAGCGACAGGCAGGTGTCCCGCGCGCAGCCGTCCGCCGGGGCCCCCAGCCTCCCTGCATCCCACTCCTGGCGCTCCCACAGAAGCATGACGTCCCAATCGCCCCAGTCCGGCCCCCACGCAGCCTCCGTCGCCGCCCTGCTCTTCGCCACGTGGCGCATGAGGACCTCCGCGGCGGCCGCCAGCGCAGCGCCGTACGATGTGGCGACGCAGCCCTCGTCGATCCACCCCAGAGCGCCCCCGGCGTATGGCAGCAGGCACTGGTGCAGGTGCCGTAGCGAGTCCTGGCTCACGCCTTCGGCGCGCAGCAGCTCCGCCACGAGCGGCAGCGCCCCAGGCACTGACAGCTCAGCCGCTGACCGCTGCAGCAGGGCCTGGCTCTGCACACGTCAAAAAGCAGGCAGAGGAGAGAACCAGCCGTATATGGAGACGGAGGGGACAACACAAGTGCATTTTTGTTGCTTTCATGACAAGGTACCGGTGTACATCACTGAATGGCGGCATGCCTCAGCAAAAAGAGACTCCACCCGCTGACCTGCTGGATGCGTTGTCGCTTTGCCGCGGGGCCCTTCAAGGCTGGGGCCACCAGCTCCGCCACGCGCACTGCCTCCTGCACCATGCCCAACCGGTCGCCCTCGCAAGCGGCCGCGTCCGCTGCCGCACTGCGCCGCAGCCCCGCCCAGCTGGCTGCGCTGACTGCGGCCAGGAGCGGGCGGCAGGACAGGGGGTCGCCCTTGCAGCCCTTCACGGGCTTGCCCCAGTCCCCAACCCGCCATGGCGCCCTGCCGGGATGGAGCCGCACACGGCGGTTCTCAGTCGGTGGCTCTGAGCAGGACATGCTCAGAAAGAGGGCCGTAGATCCACACGCGCGTGAATGCTCCAGGAATGCCGGCGCCTGTCAGATGACAGCAGCAAGGAGGCGAAGCGAGGGGCCCTCACCTGGCCCGCAGCGCCGTGGCCACATCTAGCTGCTGCCACAGGCACTCAGGCGCGTCGGCAACCGCCCGGCCCGGTACTGGCCAGCGCGTGTTGCACACAGCGCACGGCCCGTCTCGCCACGCTGCGCTGGGGCCGTCGTGCAGAGACCCTCTCCGGCCAGAGCCGCAGGTGCATATGCAGCACAGGTGCGCGCGGCGGAGGCGCAGTGCGGCTGCCGCAATCCGCAGTGCGCCGCAGGGTGCGCCGCCGCGGGCGGCCAGGTGCAGCGCGGCCTGCATGGCCACGGCTGGCAGTTGCAGAAAAGGGACCGGGCTGTGTGCAGCAGTGCATGGGCAGGTAGCAGGGGGCTTGCGTGCATGCCTTTAGGTCTCGGCACGGTGCACGCTGGCCAGCATTTTGACATCCAACTGGCGCGGCATGCAGCAGCTACCAGCAAACGTCTGCCGCTGCTGCGGCGCGAAAGCATAGGAAGGCCCCGCACTTGCAGGCCCGCGCCCTCAGCCAACCTGCGCTCAGCACGCGACAGTGCCAGGGCCACCACCCCGGCGAAGCGCTCCTGCTCCTCCTTGTCGCAGCCGGCGATGACGTAATCCATCAGCTCCGCACCCAGCAGCTGCTCAAGATCAGTACCTTCCGGCGCGTGGAGCACCCAGGAGGGGCTCCTGCCTGGCCTGGGATCCAGCCGGTCGCGCGCCGCTTCCCCCTCCGGCCCCAGTAGCGCGACGGCCTCTGCGGCCTTCAGCGCCAGCGCGGTCTGTCCCAGAGCCAGCAGGTCACGGGCCAGCTGCTCCCGCATGCCCGGGGCTGCGGGGCGGGGAGCGGGTGCCTGTTTGGAGACCAGGGGGCCTTTTGCAAGAATGGTTGCCACCCCACTTGGGCGGCTGCAAGCAGCCCCCGGCCGCGGCGCCAAGCGCGCATTGCTGGCCAGGGGCTCCAGGCCAACTTGCTGCCGCGTGCAATGGCGTCATGGCAGGGCAAGTAGACACAATGGTGTTCAGCTGATAGACACCAACCACTAAGATTTGGTACTGGCAATCTGTAACACCACATCTAACAGCACAACCAGTCTTGATATGCACCCCCATTGGTCGAGAACCCCCACTGCTGTCGTGCACCCAAGGCTCACCGACTAGCTGCTCAACACACGCGACGCTCGCGGCACCCGCCAGCACGCCCTGCGCCAGCGCCGGCCCCGCCAGCATGCCGCTGCAGCAGCAGCGCTCGAGAGTTTCGGAAATGCCTGCCAGTCGTGTCTCCTGGCGCGCGTGAAGCCACCCAAAAGGGTGGGGCTGGGCAAGGGCTTGGGCTGGCCATGGTGATCCCGCTTCGGCCGCAGGCTGCTGCTGCGGCTGCTGCGGCTGCTGCTGCGGCGGCGACGGCGGCTGCTGCCGCTGCTGCTGCTGATCATAATTTGCCCCCTGCAGCTGTTGCGGCTGCTGCTGATGCTGCTGCTGCTGTTGCTGCCGCTGGAGTCTTCGGGCCTCGCGCTTTGCAGCCTTGGCCTCGTGGCGCTGCCGTTCCTGCGCCGCCCTGTGCGCCACCTCGTGCTCCTTCCACCACGCCAGCGCTGCAGGGCCCTGGTGCGGCAGCTCCTCCTCTTGCCAGGGCAGCTGCCGCGTGATCAGGCACAGCATGCTGCTCGCCGCCAGGCTGCCAGAGGGGCTGGGCCAAGTCTGCGTGCAGTGTGAAGTTGCATGTGTACAGGTGAGGGAGTCTTGTGGTTGGCAAAGTGCCAGAACGTTCATTTTCACTTCTAAAGGTGCAGTTTAAACGGGCACATGATCCTGCAAAGCCTTGCAGGCTTTGCAAGGGCCCCGACCACGCCCAACCCCACAGCCCCACCAGCGGCACGACGTCGTCGTCCTCGGCTCTGGGCTTGCCCGCTTGCAGGGCTGCTTCCACTTGCATGACGGCAACTGCAGCAGGATGAACATGCGCTTGCCCTGGCCGAGCCTGCACGCGGCGCTGCTGCGAGCGGCCTGGCCAGTTGACGGGCTTGCGAGGCCGCGCCCTTGGCTGGGGTGCGCCTGCTGCAGCTGCTGCAGGCTGCGCAAAATGCAGCTCCGAATACTCTGGTAACTGGTACTTGAATTGGGCTGCAGCCCTCATGTATTGGCTCGTCTTGAAGCTGTGTGTATGTTTGTGTGTGTGTGTGTGTGTGTGTGTGTGTGTGTGTGTTTGTGTGTTTGTGTGTGAGCAACTGAAGAAAGCGGGTTGCAAGGAGACCATGGTATGCGCTCGTTCGGTCCTGGGGAGGCAAGCATACTCATTAAGCAGCGCCCTGTGAGGCCGTATCAGCCGCTCGGCTAGAGTTGGATGAGAGACTCGAGCTGGGTGGTGCAAGTCACCTGCGGCGCGTCTTGTGCCACAGCATCTCATCAGGCTGCCCCGGCTCATCAAACTCTGCTGGGACCCCGCATTGGCACGAGGAGAAGAGGGCGAGGCGAGGGCGAGTGTTCCAGTCAAGCCTTTGGGGGGATGGTGTAGCTGATGCAGCGCAGCGCTGTTGTGCCGTTGGTCAGCCGCCGAGCCCCGAAGCACGACGTCCAGAAAGTCGGCCAGCTCAACCCTCCTGGAACAGATCACCAGTCACGCTCTCAACCACATCCTAGATCTGCAAATATAAGGAGGGCTCAACCCTGATCGTTGCCAACCAGCCAAACCCTCATCTTATGTCTTAGTATTCCCACCACCCCAAGGCAGCCCACCTCCCTCGTCGGCGGAGCCCTCCTCCTGAGCCGGGTTGTTTTTCGCCCTCACCATTGGAACTCTGCACTCACGCAGCAACCGCACGCGCGCCTCCGTCTTCTCTTGCTCCAGCTCGAACTGTGTCTGCAGCTCCCTCTCCGCCGTCGCCACCCTCCCTGCTGGCTGCCTCTGGCCACGCTCCACTGAGGTACTGTCCAACGTTGCTGCAAACTGCCACAGCGTGCTGCGAGACGACGCGATGCGCAGCCCCTGCAGCGCGTCTGGACAGCGCCCAGAGGGCGTCTCTGCGCAGTGGTAGCGGCTGTGCAGCAGCCGGCTGTGACGCAGCAACACTTCAGGCTCCAGGGGAGAGACAGGCGGCGGAGGGAAAAGGCTGGCCCAGCGGCCGCCGCCTTGTGCATGGGTGCTCGCACGTGGTGAAGCAGCCGGCGCGCTGTCGCCTTCGCCCCTGCTGTCGCGTCCCCAGCCTTCCTCCTGGACTTCCTGCGGTACCGTTTGATACATACATACATGCTTGGCCGTGGGCCAGGCTGCATGCGTAGCTGGTGACTGTGGGAAGCGGCAGCCACCAGCCACCCAATAGCTGAGGAGCGCCGACCACATGCACGCACACCACCGACGGTGCCGCCCTACCACGTGCCTCAACCCGCTCACCCGCCCGCACGCCACCACCACATTGCGCAGCAGCTCCCACAGCAGGCCCTGCTCCACTCCGTCACCAGAGCACGCCGCAGACAGCGACACAGGCGCGCCCGAGCGGCGCCGCGCCAGGGCCAGCAGCGCGTGCCTGAGCGCCTCGAGGCAGCGCTGAGGGCTGGGCCGGCCGGTGCCGCCGCGTGCGCTGTGCTGCAGCTCCAGCAGCGCCACCTCCAGCAGCGTGGCGCGCGTGAAGTCCGAGGCGGCCTCGTCCTCCCTGCACTCTGCCAGGCGCTCCGCGTCGGCTGCCAGCAGCTTGGGCACCATGGAGGAGCTGGGGGCGGGAGGAGGGGCACAGGGCGTAAAGGAGGAATGTCAGCTGAAATTGAGTGAGGGTGCGCAACATACAATGACCGCAATCACTCTCCACTGCTTCAACAGGTCAAGCACGGATACGACTGAGGCCCAAAACGAAGGAGCCCCCAGAGCACACCCCCAAGCAGCATCCCGGCTTCCACACAAACACACCCGCCAAGGTGCAGCTCAAGGTTTGCCCGCTCCCACGGCATGTCGGCCGCCGTCGCCAGGTTGAGCGCCTCGCGCGGCCGCCCCGCGCGCAGCAGCGCCACCAGCTGCATGTGCAGGGCCCCGTGGTGCTGGTAGTAGCCGTCCTGCCCGCCCACAAGCAGCCGCGTGCCCTGCAGGGCCGCCGCCGCGATGTGGGGGTCGTCCCACCCCATCCGCAGCAGCGCTGCCGCCCTGCCCAAGGCACGCCAGGCCTCCACCAGCGGCAGATCCTGCGGCTGCACCACCCACAGCCAGGGGTTGCCTGCAAGCCGCGAGACGACGCGCGGGCCGCCGCACCACGCGCCGTCATCAGTGCTGTCCCAAACAGCGCCGCCGCCGTCCCCTTCAAATGTGGCCTTTTGAAGTAGCTTGTCGCTCTGCCATCGCTGGCTGTGGATCAGAGACTCGGGCTCGGCGGTCGTCAGGTCAGGCGGCCGCGGTGGGTGGCGCGCGACCGAGGCGCAGGACCAGAGCCGCCTCGCCAGGGTGTCGATGCGCCTGGCCAGGCACTGGCGCTGCTGCCTGCCAGGTGGGGTGCCAGGGCGGGAAGCGAATGCGCAAGTTGGTCTTTGGTTTCCGTGGTTGCCAGCTGTTATGATGTGTCACGGCGCCACACTCCGCCTGACATACGCCGTGCTGCCGCTCCCTGAGCCGAAGCAGTGGCAAGGAAGACCGGACATGCTGCATAGGGAGCGTCAGCTGCCCTTGCTACCCAGCCCTCACCAGGGGACACCCGTCACGCGCTGCGCAAGCTGCGCCAGCCCAAGGGCCAGGTAGAGCACGTCGCTGCGATGGGCAGTGTAGCGTGCTTCTTGCGGCGGGAACAGTGAGAAATCGGCATCCTCGCCGGGGCCTGGGGCTGAGGCAACGCCCCACTCGAGTGCGCGGACCAGCGGCAGCAGCATCGACAGGGGGCCGCCTGCGGCAGCACCCGCGCGCGCCTCCGCCACGAGCTGCGCAGCGTGCGCCGAGGGCGGCGGCGCGGTCTCTGCCATCTGTGTGTACCGCGGCTGCCAGCCAGAGTTGATGGCCGCCAGCCGACGCAGCTGAGCCTGCCATGCCTGGGCCGTCGCCTCATCCGCCTCCTGGCGCTCAACGGCTACCTCCTGCCCAACGAGCGCATCGGCGGGCAGCCACCCGGGCGCGCAGGCCCACAGGCCCAGGGCTTTGCGCAGCTCCGCCGGCGCCGAGCGCTGCCCTGCCGCCCTGCGTTCCTCCATGGACAGGCGGGCTCTACCTGTCTCGCACGCCTGGGCCGTGCAGCAGTCCTGCAAGTACAGCACACCAGGCATATTTGGATTGATTCAGGTGTTCAAGGGAATCCGCAACCAGAATCGGTGAGGTGTCCCATTTAAAAAAATATCACACTCATGCATGCCTTCCCCGTGTGCATCCCCCTGTCAACCCACCAAGTGCCGCCTGACGGTCATGTAACCACCAGAGAGCAGCTGCAGCAGCTCTGGAAGCCTCAAGGGGTTGCGCATCAGGCGACGGTGCCACCACCGCCGGCTGCAAGCATCCTGCGTATGGGGTTGACCGTCTTCTGGGTTCAAAGGGCATCCTTGACAGCTGCATGCTCCACGCCATGAGCAGCACGTGGTCCGTGACCCCAATTATCTCCTACCCGGAACCCAAGAGGCGCGGCGCACAAGAGCATAATTGCTGTGAGCAATATGCAGCCGTCATGGCCCTTTTCATTTCCCCACAAAACTTGCACACGCGACCACTTTGTTCAACGCACACCTGCATCAGGCCCAGCAGGGCTCCAACCTCTTCTGGGCAAACCACATCTTCAGGGGCAGCCCTGATCGCCGCCAGCACCACCCGCACACGCGGTGGCAGCCATGAGGGCCAGCCCTCGCAGCCAACGTCAAGATCGGCGACTGGTGCGCCGCCCTGCGTATCGCTGCTCGCCCACAGCAGCTGGGACGGGACAGCGGCTCGCGCGTCACTGTCTGTCGGCGCAGGTCCGGCGCCGCTGCCTTGCTGCTGGCCGCCAGCGTCCCCATCGCGCAGCAGCAACCGCATGAATGCACCACGGCATGTCTCGTTGCAGCAGCTGTCACCATCGTCGTCACTGCTGTCGCTGCTGCTGTCCTTTGCGTCGCTGCCGCTGCTGCTGCTGCTGCTGCTGCTGCTGCTGCTGCTGCCGCCGCCGCCGCCACCACAGCTGTTGCCTCCGCCGTCCCGGCTGTTTCGCATCGTGCCGCGCGGCCGCTCGCCTTGCTTAGACCGAGCGAGCCAGGCCACGAGTAGCATGTGCCCACTGTCCACAGTATGCATCAGCACCAGGGGCCGCGACATGCGCAGGCTTGCCCCATGCGTCCCAGGCATTCCGCGCTCGGCGTCGCCCGGCTGCTGCTCCATGACATGCGGTGGCAGGCTGGCCAGGCACGCCACTAGCCGCGCACGTGACGCGCATGCGGCGATTGCGGCATGCTGCTGCACGCTCCCATGTATCATGCGTAAAGCATTGGCCACAGAGCCCACTGCGCCCGCAGGCAAATGCAGCAGACCGAGGTCGCACAGCAGATCGGCGACTCGGCTTGCGCATTGTACTGCATCTGTCTGCGCCAGGCTCTGGTCGGCCCCTGCATGGCGGCGGGCGTCCCGTTGCGGCTCTGCTTCCTCTTCTGCCTTTCATTTCATCAGGCTGGCTCAGCTCTATCGGCTTCACATCACGAGTGTACCCACCACGCCCGCCATCATGTCGGTGATCAGGGAACTGTCGTTGCGATGCAAGCAATGCTTATTTCGGTGTGTAAGACAATTGAAAGTGACAGCCCTCGAATTGAAGCATGCCGCGGAGTGTTTTTTTTTTCGAACCCGCTGCGCAAGTCTCGTGCTGCCGGTGCTGTGCCTGCTGCTCAGCCCCCTGCCGCATGCACACAGGTGCGCGGTGTTCAGATACGTGCTGCGACCGTGGCACATGCTGGTTGCAGTCCATTTGCATATGTATGAGGGCTTGCTATTTGACTCAAACTCTTCAATCAGGACGTACTGCAGGTGAGCGGCAGGCTCACTGTCTGCTGCAGCCCGGGGAAAATGGATGTGTCAGCAGCAGGTCCAGGCCATGTACAGCCATCACCAGCTCATATAATAATGTGAAAAGCCCAGGGAATTTGCAAGTTGCAATGACTGATGCGCGTTCGTTACAAGATGCTGCCAATTGGCAGCTGTATGGTGATTTGATGGCGTTGTGAGTGAATGATGAAAAAGAAGTGTGTGTTGCAAGTACCATATTCAATGTTTGCATGGTGAGCCGGCCGGGTGCCACACATGCGGGGTAATGGGCAATCCGCTACAACTACGCTAGTGCAAGCGAGGACTATCATGCACGCGCCCCGCTCAAGAGACCCAGGGTCAGGCGCGACCGGCAGCACCACACACTGCTGAGTCAGCGAACTCGGCCTCCAGCATGAGTGGCCGAGGCCTGTTTGTGCATGGCTGCATGGCTTTACCTCCTCACTGCTGGCCCTCTCTGCAGCCTGGTGCACTACGCACTACCCCCTCCCCCCTCAAGCAGCGGCCGCATCACTTGGGTGCGCGCCCCAGCGCCCGCAGCGTGTCCCCCACCAGGTACAGCGACCCCGTCACCAGCACACGCAGCCGCAGCCCGGGCGTCGACCGGACCGCCGCGCGCAGCGTGGCCAGGGCGCCGCTGACGGAGGGCGCGACGGCGCCGCGCGCGGCATCCTGCGGGCCGTTCCGGCCTTGAGCGTGGGGTTGGGGGGCGGGGGGAGGGGGGGTGGTTCTCGCTGAGCTGCAAGTTCTCCGAGACATGTCAGGCACAGGATCCAGACTGGCCGCAGCACCAGGTTAGTGGTTTGTGTGTGCGACATGTGATCCAGCACGCGCTTGGTACACAACGTAGGGGCCGCAGAGCTGCCTACCTGGCAAGGATGACAGCGCCAGCCGCACCGCCGCCGCCCCCGCTGCCGCCCCCGCTGCACCTGCCCCCGTCGCGCGAGCCGCCGCCTGCTGAGGCAGGCTGCGCTCCCACACGTCGCGCAGCGCCGCCTGCCACGACACGTCCGCGATGATCTCCTGCACCTTGGGGGCGCTCTTGGCGCTGGCCAGGAACGCGTACTGGCTGTCTGGCGGCACAAACAGGGCGGCGTCGAATTCGACGCCGCGGCGCGCCAGGGAGCCGTGCAGCGCGGGCAGCAGGGCGGCCGGGTCTCGTTCCTTCATGCAGTTGAACATCAGGACGGACTGGGGCAGGGGCCCCTGCTTGTGCTGCTGCCCGCCGCTGCCACCACTGCTGCCGCCGCTGCCGCTGCTGCTGACGGTGGCGCCTGCTGATGCATGTTGCTGCTGGCTGCCGCCGTCGGGGCCCGACGCGTCTGCGAACCACTCTGCGCAGGCCGCCATGCTCTCTGGCGTGTGCGCGCCGTCCAGATAGAAGGTGAGGCGGCTGCCGCCCCCCTGCTCAGCAAACTCTTCGTCCTCCACTACCTGGGGGGGTCGCAGCCCGAACATGCACAGGGGTGGCGACGGGAAGATAGGCTATGTGGGTTCGCAAGTGCAGCGTTGAGGGGGGTCGGCGCCCGACAAAGACATTTGACATAGCATGCCTTGGTAGGCATCGTCGCCCCAGGCCGGCTGCCACCACTCGCCACAGGCTCCCATCCCGCGCCCGCACCCGCCTGCCCGCGTTCACCCCGCGCCCCACCTGGCTGCGCCCCGGCCAAGCCGCAGCCTCCAGGCCGGCCCTGTACTCTGCAGGCAGCACCCCCCGCGCCACCATGGCCGCGCGCCCCTCGGCCCGCTCCCCGCCCCGCGCGGCCTCCCACGCGGCCGCGAGCTGCACCGCCAGCGACGCATTGACCAGCTGGTGGGCCCCTGACAGCTGCAGCCGCAGGCCGTCCCCCCGTGCTGAAGGGGGCGCCCCGTCCAGTGTGTAGGCTGAGAGGGGCGGTGGCACAGAGATGGTCGTGCCGGCTTGCTCCGCGCACTCCTGCGAGGTTGAGGGTAGGTGCCCGCTGTAAGCCTCCGGCAGTCAGCCTGTAACCAGCGAGTGCTGAGGCGTGTATGTGGATCTGACGCACATCGTCCTTTCCTGCCGCCCAGCAATTAATAAATCGCCTACTGCCCCACCACACCCTTGAGCCGACGTCAGCATTTGTGCCTGCTTCTTATGTGGTTGTCGAGTTCGTATGTCGTCTGGCACACCCAACCAAGCACAACACCACCAACACAAGGGCGCAGGGCCGCCCACCCGCAGCGCCTCCATCGCGTCGTCCGGCTGCGCCACGCTCCAGGCCGGGCTGCCCCTCTTGAGGATGCCGCCCTTCTCGCGCGCAATCTTGGGCAGGGTGTCACCCAGCAGCTCCATGTGGTCGAAACCCAGTGATGTCACACCGCACACCGCGGGGTGGGGGATGACTGCGAACCAGTTTATGGACAGATATTATATCACATGAGACACAGACCGTAAAGGCCCAGGCGAGCGCCGCTGCCTCACAGCTTTGTGCACAAGGGCACTGGAACCGGCGCGAGAGGTACAAGTGACCAGGTGGGCCGTCAAGGAAAGGTTGCCGGCCTGCCGGCATGTCACAGTGACGCGCCTCCAGAGCCCATTCCCCCCACTTGCGGAAGCCTGGCCGTGCTCGCGGCTGCGCACCGTTTGTTGCGTCCAGGCGGCCTCCGATGCCGACCTCCAGCACCACCACATCCAGATCCTGGGACAGGAATATGCTGAGGCCTTTGATTGCAGCGTAGTGAGGGCCACGCGTTGGCTTAAAATAGGGGGGAGTGTGAGTGGGTCAAGGGAAAGGCGTGTGGGGTGGCACCGTGCTGATGCATCAAGACGGGATGGGGGCCCCGAGACGAGTGGCGAGCAGCACCTGAACAGCCGTGAATCCTAGTCCTGATCCCGCACCTGAACAGCCGTGAACCCCTCTGCTACATCCTTCCATCCGTGCAGCACAATAACCCCATCCGCCAGCACCGCTTGCTCTTGACACCCCTGCCGCCACCTGGCCCATCAACCCCCACTCACCCAGCAGCGTGATGAACCGGAAATAGCCCGGCATGCCGACCTCGGCCGTCGCGGCCGCGCTCAGGGCGTCGTGGCACCGCCAAAAGTGTTCCTCGAACAGGCCGCGGCTCACCATCTGCCTGTGGGCCAGATGTTGCGCGGCGTCACAATCAAGCCTGCCAACTCCAAAGCTCACTGCACAGCCGGCTGTGGCCACATTCCGGCGCATCGCTGCTCTGGCACGGCTGCCTGGTGGCCTGCACCAGTGCAGGGCGAAGGCCACCGCCCCCGCTCACCCGTTGATGCGCACACGCTCCCGCACGTCGCACAGGTGGGGGCTGGTGAAGAGGCCGGTGCGGTAGCCGGACGCCCGCAGCACGCTCTCCACCATGGCGCAGGTGGACCCCTGGAGTGGTGTGGGCCCAGAAAGTCAGTGGCGGTGCGTGGAGGGGGTGAGCAACTAGGGCCGGTGAGGAGCGGCGTCTCGGCCGTCGCGCACGCCTGCGAAATCATACAAAGCAGCAGTCTATAGCAGCAGTCTCCGGGACTCAGAGCTCCAACGCCCATGTGATCGCAGCGGATCTGACCGCATTACTGCAGTCGCAATTGGCGCATGTAACCCACCTTGCCCTTGGTGCCGGCTACATGGATTACGCTGAGGCGTTTTACATCCTCCGCAATGCCCAGGCGCTGCGGCAAACAAGGTCAAAGCCATGCCAGAGGTTCAAGACACAGCAACGGGCTCGGCACCCATGGCGTGACTGGGCAGCAGCAGCATTGCAGGACAGCAGTCGCCGCCGTTGCGCCAACAGCGGTGTCGCAACGCAGATGGCGTTGAGCCATGCCTATGGCAGCACCTCCATGTATATAGGCATGTTCTCGAAAGCATCCCTCCATCCTTTGCCGTCTGCCCGCGTCTTGAAAGTAATGAGGTCGCTTAGCATCTCGAGCATGTCCTCGTATGTCCTCCGCGGTGTGCCGTGCGCATGCCTCTGAGGAGCTGCAGCCTGAACTGCCTGTAAGGCTCGTGTATGGGCTGCACCTCCCGTTCTGGCAAGGAGGCCCATTGCGATCACCCACGAGGCCCTGCGCTGCTGTGCGTTGACGCTGCCTGACCCTCTCTGGTAGGTTCGTCAGTGACGGCCTAATATATAGATCGGCGGGTGAATGAGGCGAGGCAAGGTGTGTTGACAATCACTTTGATGGAGCCGCTTGTCCTCCCGGTGCCGCCGCAAGTCAACTCGCATTGTACAGCTTGATGCCCAAGGCTGTGTACGTTAATGAAATTGATCTGCAGCTGCCGGTATAGTTGTTACCATACCGGCTAGAGAGCAGCAAATGCGGCTGGGCAACACCTGGGTATGGTGTGAGCTGTTGTGAGCACCCCCGCTGCCAGCTTGGACCTACCACAGTGGCATGTTGCAATCAGCGTCGATTGCAGTGAGTGCCCCCATTGTATCGTGTTTTGGACCCTGACTGGCTTGGCTTGAATCCCTTGCTACCTGATTCTTCCCATAGACGACCCCTCTCATGCTGTTGCCCCAGCTGTTTTGTCGCCACGTGCACCGCGCAGGCATACCCGCACACAAGCACCAAAGCACCATGATGACGATCTCGTTACATTCTTGGACCCTGCACAAAACCCGTCATTTGCCTATGCACACAGGCTTGCTGGTGCGGTGTGAAGCGTGTGACGCAACGGCAACGGCCAGAGGCTTCCTGAGCAATCGGGGTAAAGCTGTGCTGATGCCAGCTCAGCTTCCCGCTCCCCGGGAATGCTCCGCCATGGGTACTTGTGCACATGCCCTGCTCGCCCACAGAACAGCGCAGTGGCTTTTGCGGCAGCATTGCAAAGAGGGCACCCCTGCAGCGGCAACCGCGGTACGCATGTCAGCGAGCCGCACGACACAGATTGTCATTTCTCCCCAAGTCGCCGCAAGAATATTGTCATTTCTCCCAAAAGCGTCTTCACAAGCAGCCAGGCACGGCATTGTTCTGGTGTTGGGATGCATCACGTACGGCGGCGAGGTGCGCCATGCGGCAAATGATCGAGGCCTCTGGGGCGTGCCTCGCGCAGGCGGCGCGGGGCGACACACAAGTACAGTCGCTGAGGTCGGGAGTGGGGTAGTCAGGAAGAGAGAAATGTGTTGTACACGGCAACGTCGCCGCATTCCTACCGTGCTGAGACTACAACCATCGCACAGGACGCGCAAACAGCATACAGGTAGCAACCGAACGGTCAAGGCGAACAGGAACCAACCGGGTCCATCAGGCGCGCACCAAGGGAAGGATGCGCGCGCGCCCAGAGGGGCCGCGGGCATTGCTACGGCCCAAAGATTAAGACCGTACATGCTTGTTGACAGCGGGCGGGCGCCAGCGGCCAAGGCACGCATCGGCCCGTCCGTCTCATGTGGTCCCGCGAAGGAGGTGGCATAGGGTACACGCGCGTATGCGCCACCGTGCCAGTGGCGGCCGCAAGCGCGAGGTCGAGATACTAATACACAAACCGAGCGGAGCCGGCAACTGCGGTAGCGCGGCCTGGGGGAAGAGCAGGGTAAGCCCCGCTAGCCATAACAGCTGGGCCAAAGCGCCCTCTGCCAAGCGGACGCCCCCGCAAACCCCCTCCCGCCAACCCTCCCTGCCCTCCCTGCCTCAAACCGTCACCAACGAGCTCAAACAAAGAGGGCAGTCTCAAGCCCTGGGCAGTTGCGACGCCGCACAGTGTCGCTTGTCGTGATGAGCGCGCCTCTTGCCGCTGCATTGCGCCTTTCAAATTGGGCCAGCAGCAGCGGGGCAGCGCGAGCGAGGGCCGGCCTCTTCCAACCATGAAAGGGCCAGACATGTCGAGTGCGTCGCCTGGATTCGCCCACCGCAGGTACAAACAGACTGTGGGAGCAAACAAAGGCGGCTGTTGTGCGACAAAGGGTCAGAGAGATGACACTCTTGTCTGAGGGGAGGGCAAGGGGCGCCTGCCGCGTTTCGCAGCAGCGGCGCCCCTCCCCGCAGGCCGCCTCTCCCCTGCTGCCGACCACCAGTGATGTGGCGCGCTGGCGCCTGAGCGCTCGCTGCCCTCATTTCTCACAGGCAAAGCAGACCAGCCACCACTGCCGCCGGCGCCCCTTCCGCGCCGTCGGGCCCGCGCCGGGGTCATCACATAGCAAGGGCTGCCTGCCGCAGCCGCGACGACGACGCCGCGAGCCGGCGGCCAAGCGACACCTCCATCGGCGTGGACTGGCCCGGCATGAACACCGTCAGCGGCGGCAGGTCATCGCTGTCCGCGCCCACAACCAGGGACGGCGCAGCCGCAGGCGCCGCCGGGGCAGCGACGCGGCCGCCAGCGCGCGACGGCACCAGGCAGGGCTCCTCGACAAACGCGAGGTGGTCACCCGGACGCAGCACAACCTCCCGCCGCGCCAGCAGCGGCACCGGCTCGCCGTTCAGCCGCAGGCTGCAGCCGCGCGACTCGGCCGCCGCGACCGCGCCACTGGCCAGCAGCTGCGCGAGCGTGCAGCGCGCAGGGACGCCCTCCACGCGAACGCCACGCGGGCCGCTGATCAGCACCTGGGCAGCGTGCGCCTCCAGGTCCTCATCGCTCACGGGCTGGATGCTGAAGCGCGCCATGAAGCGCGCGTCCAGCTCAGCTGCAGCTGCGGCCGGCGAGCCGCCCGACGCAGGCGACCCCTGCTGCTGGTGGTGCTGCTGCTGCTCAGATGGCGGCGCAGCGTACGCAGCCGCCACCGCTGCCGGTGAGCCCACAGCTGGCGAGGCGGCCGCCGATGCAGCGGCTGCGGCCGCCTCAATGAGCGCCGCGATCGCAACGTCGCGCTGCAAGCTGCCGCCCTCGCGGACCTTTGCGTCTCGCAGGCGCAGCTTCTCAGCAGCTACCCACTTCTTCCACTGCACCAGGCGGTCCAGCCAGAGGTCCTCGCGGGACAGCTTCTCCTTGTACCGCCAGTGGGCCGCAAAGCCGTACTCCGCAATGTAGTGCATCTTGGGGGTGCGAATCTGGGGTGGGATGTCGAGGAATGCGTTGGTTGCATGTGAGGATTGCAGGAGGGTTGCAGATAGAATCGCGTCTGACGGTCCACGGCTAGGGCGGGAGGGCGGCAAGCCTGCAGTGTGCACTCACAAGGCCGGGGGTCCACAGGCTGACGGCCTTGCACGAGAGCCTGCATACAGCCCAGCGCGCACCTGGACCTCCAGGAGCGCTGCAGGCAGGCCTGTGACATCGTCCGCCACTGCGGCATCCCCGGCTGCGGCGGTGACGCTGGTGTGCAGGCTCTGGTAGCCATTGCCCTTGCGGTTGCGGATGTAATCCTGGGTTTGAGGATAGGCGACACAATGAGAGTTGCACAAAATGCGACGAAATTGGGCAGGCCCACTGAGCCGGAAAAAGATGCAGGCGCAGCCATCTGTCCACAACTGGGCTGTGCTGCGGCCGTGAACGACCCCAGGGCGCGCGCCGATCCCAGGACCCCCAAAGCTCGCACCGCCCACCTTGAAGCGCCCAGGAACTGCGGCCCAGAGGCCCTCGACCTCCCGCAGCGCCCTGTAGCAGTCGTGCTTGTGCGGCACCACCACCCTCAGCGCCGCCACGTCGTACACCTCGTCAATGCGCTCCACGCCCAGGCCCCCGGCCTGCAGCTTGCGCCACACGCCGTAGATGTTCTTCACGCGGCCGCTGACATCCACCACCTCCAGGCCAGCCGCCGCCAGCGCCGCGCGGACCTGCGCCACGCGCATCGGCAGGTCGATCGCGGCCGTGCGCGCGGCGACGGCGGCGGACACAGCCTCGTAGTCCTCAGGCTGCAGCGTCTTGAAGGCCAGGTCCTCCAACTCCGCCTTTACGCTCCACGCGCCAAGGCGGTTGGCCAGCACCGAGAACACGTCCAGCGTCTCGCTCGCCATGCGCACCTGGGTGAGTGGAATGCAATGCGCGGTGGATGGTATGCAGGGCCGGCTGTTGGTGAGATGGCCCAGCGGTTGGTGCGCTGTGAGTGGCAAGGTGCCGCCGGGCCATATGCAACAGGATCGCCCGCATTCTCAACACCTTGCTGCCACAGACGCGCTGTTCAAAAGCGGAACCAAAGGGCGTGCTTTGACCCGCCTGCACACCTGCTTGCAGCGCGCGAGGGACCCTATCGTGCGCATGTTGTGCAGGCGGTCTGCCAGCTTAATGAGCAGCGCGCCCACGTCCGACATTGACGTCAGCATGTCCAGGATGGAGGCCGCCTCAAGGGAGTGCGCGTTGTCGCGATACAGCTGCGACACCTCGCTCAGGCGCGTCACCTTCTCCACCTGTTCACGAGGCAGGGGGGGGGGGACGGCGAGCCCCACAAATAAGCGCCCGCCTCGTGACGCGCACCAAACGCATTATGCGATTGCGACCAGCAAGTGGCAGAGCAGATTCCACCATTGCTGTCACCACCAGCCGTGACCAAAAGATTGTGCGCCTCGAGGCGCCGAAGAAGGGGGGAAGGGGGGGCCCGCGCACCAGCTCGACGCAGGAGCGCGGCACGTACTCCTCCAGCTGGCAGGCCGTGACGCGCGTGTCACTCAGCACGTCGTGCAGCAGCCCCGCGGCCACAGTCTCCTCGGGCAGCCCGAGCTCGGCCAGGATGGCAGCTGTCGCCAGGCAGTGTGAAAGCACGGGCTCGCCGCTCTTGCGGACCTGGCCGGCGTGCGCGCGCGACGCGGCGGCGTACGCCGAGCGCACGACGGGCGCGTCGAGCACAGGGTGCTGCGGCACCAGCGCGTTGAGCGGCGACATGTCCGGCTCCGCCAGCTGCTGCTGGTCCTGATGGGACGACAAATTTGGAGTGTTTAGGGGGTTTGTCAAGCAGAGGCGGCAACGTTTCAAACATGGGCGTGCGGGAAGGGCGTGACCTAGTACCCACAGGGGCTGTGAGCGCGGGCCTGGCGCCTGTCCAGTCCGAGCAACGAGCACCGCGACGAGGCGGGGAGACACACGGCCGACGGATATTGTGGCGATGAGGGTTCTGGAAAAAAACATGTCTGTCCCTGCAAGCACCCGCACCGCACCTGGGCATGCAGAAAGCTGAGCGACGGCGACGCCGACCCATAGAGATCAAACGGCGCCGCGAACGACAGCGATCCGGCCAGGGGCAGGTCTGACAGCGCCATGCTCAGCAGGCTGGGCTTGGTCTCGCGGCGGCCCGGAGACAGTGGACCCAGGGCGGCCGCGAGCGGCGGCGCACGTGCGTCAAGCGGCACGTCGGCCTTGACGTCAAAGCCAAACTGCATGCTGCCGGCCTTGACTGCCGTCGCCCCGCTCGGCGGGCGAGCTGCCGAGCCGCCCGTCGATGCGACTGACATGCTGCGCGACGTGGTGCCCGTTGAAAAGCTGAAGCAGGGCGCTGGCCGGAAGGGCGAGGCACCGCTGTCCGCTGGCTTGGCGACGCCGCCATCGCTGATGCGCGCCACGCGCGCAGACCCACTGCGAGCACCGATGGGCAGCGCAGGGCTCCTCGAGGCGGTTGGGGGAGAGCACGCCACCATAGGCATCGCTGGTGGTTGCGCTAGGGCCGCGAGGCCCGAGGGCTAAATACCACCGACGGAGGCCCTTCCACTGCTGGGGGTGGCGACGCTGCGAATGCTGTGTTGAAGGCTTATATATTCAGTAGGCCTGGCCCCCGGCGCAGGAAGGCGCCGGGGAGGGGCGTCCTGGCCTCCCCTGCGCGAGTCCCGGCTTGGGCCCCCGAGCTGGCCAGCTAGGCAAAGATAACAACAAGTGTGCGCTTCAGTGAGAGCAGTCAACCACAACAGATGTGTGAGAGCTGACGGTGCCCCGCCAAAGGCGTGCGAATGAAGCTGTTCGTGAGTATGAGTGTCAGTTTGCTCGTTTTGAAGCTGGAATTACAACGCACGTGCATGGTGAAGTCCCTAGGGAAGGGCGCAAGGCGTTTATTGACGCGTCATGGGCGCTGTTCGTGCATGTGTCATGTTGCTTGGCTGCGGCTGGGTATCCCCCTCGCAGGTTGAGCTACTTGTGCCGCAATAGAAAGCCACCGTCATTTCACTTCCCCCAGGCGCAAACGAGGCTGGCCGTTGTCCGGTAGATCATCAGAATCTTCGCGGGGCAGCCGCGACAGCAAACTTAACAATCAACACGCTCCCAGACGCATTATCATCAGCGACTTGGGCGACGCACATTCTGGAGACACGCGGCGTGGGGGAGTCAGCGCTACATTTTGACTAGCGTGCGCCATACAGTACCACACACCGCTGGCCCTGAAATGTGCATCAAATGTGTGGTTTGCGCCATCTGTGCCCGGCACGTGGCTTTCAAAATCCAGACAGGTGAAGGTAGCAGGGAGGATCAACAATCTGTTTGCGCAGCCCTTCCTTCCCAGTCTGGTTTCTGTTGCGGGCAGCTGCCCCACTTTGCTCAGGGCAAGCGCCACGGTATTGACGTTGATGATCATGTTGCTGGCACACGGCTTGTGATCGAAACCTGAACGGCCTCCGGGGGTTGCGTCAGTCCGGCAACGCAGGAGCGGTTGGTATGGACAGGAGCCAGCGCAGGCTCTCGGTCACCCGTAATGATGATGCGCGGGAGGTGTGCGGGCTGAGCCGAGCACCCATCATGCAGAGGGTGCTGGCTAGGCGCCACACCGCGCACCGTTGCGTGCAGGTGTCGGAGCCGGATGTCCGCCCCCGTTGGCGCCGTCACCGCCATGGGAGAGGCCATGGCTTGTGGCAGCATGCTCACAGCAGCATCACATCTGTTCTCTCATCATTATGAGAGGCCTGCAAGCAAGGAGCTATCCCAAAAGGAAATCCTTACAGCACTGAATCAGACATTCAAGCATCAGCCAGAGCCATGTGAACTTGCTATTTACATCCAAGAACCCCCTATCGCTGCTCCCCAAGCCGCAGCAGCAGCCACCGCAGCAGCCGCGCCTCCTCCGCCACCGTGCGGCCCTCCAACTCCTCCCCGCCGCCCTCCCCGCCTCCCGTCGCCCCAGCCCCAGCAAACGCGGCCGGCACTTTGGCGCCTGCGGCCTCTGCTGCCTCCAAGAACGCCTGCACCTCCTGCCAGCTGGCGTCCTTGAACGTGATGGTGTGCTTTGCCAGGCCCTCCAGAGTGGCCAGCAGGCAGCGCTTGGCGTAGAACCAGGTGTCGGTCGACAGCTTTGAGGGCAGCGGCTCGAGGGACTTGATGATGCGTGACACCCCGAACTCATAATTCCCCTGGGCCAGGTGGGGGGAGCGGGGAAGGGCGACGGGGACGGGGACGGGAAGCAGTCCGGCTCAGGCGCATGCCTCTGTTTGTCGTGGGGGCTGGCAAACGATGCTGTAGCAGGAGGTCCAGCTTCAAGGCTCGGCGGGTGAGCAGCCAAGCAGCATGATGAACGCAAGCCACACAGCAGCCACGCTCCCAACCGCAGCTCGCCCGCCCGCGGGTAAAGGGCAGCCAGTAATGCAACGCAGCCGTGGCCACAGGCAGTGCCCCGGCCATTCGCGCTCACCTTTGAGCAGTACAGGGTGCCTATGACGAGGTTAATGATGGCCAGGTGCAAGTGGTTGCTGCCCCCGCCGCGCGCCCCAGGGCCCTGCGCTGCACTGGTGCCCTCCTCGTCGGCGGCGTCCTCCGCCGCCTCCACGCGGCGCATCAGCTCCTCCGCCTCCTCATTCTGGCAGGTTTGCATGGGGAGCAGGGGGCGCAGTGCGAGGTCATGAGGGGGGAGCGGCCTGGATGCCAGCAATCAGGCATGTCCGTGATAGGTCCCTTGTGCACAAGGGTTTCCTCATGCGCACACCCACACCCACACCCACCCCCCCCCCACACACACACACACGCTCACACAACACACACACATGTGCGCGCACACACACACACACACACACACACACACACACACA